CTAAATCCCTTGCCTTGTAGGGGCAATTTTTGCTTCTGCTCCCTTGCAGCCCAGACGTCTTCTAATGTTCTCACAGAACTCCCAGTTGGTCTCTCAAAACTTCATATATAACCATAGCACTTCATTTGTGCTTTCCTGTTTTCTTTACTGACGTTTTATGGGCTCCTAAATTCTGTTGGAGTATTTTTGCTGTTACTTAATGTTATTCTAAGAAATCTGTCTGTCGCAGTAGTAGTACTCATCCCTTTCCTGAGTATTGCTTTATTTTTTTTTTACTTCTGGTATAAAGTGTTCAGGAATGCTTAGCATCAGTTACGGGATTTTAATGGAAGAGTAGGGAAGTCTGGTTTGCCAAGAGGGGCAGTTTTATTTTCAATTACATTATCCACAATGAAGTTCCCATTGTGGCTGAATAGGCAGCGGCACGGTGGTGTCTGGCTCATGTCCTGAATCCAGCCAACAAGTGACTTTCTGCACCATTCTGAACCTCTGTTAGGAAGGTGGGGTGTTTGTTTGCTTTTTTAAAGGAAGTACTCTGAAATTTCCACCAGTGAAGTTACCCAGATAAGTATTTTCTAGTATTTTTGTGGATCCTCCTATGTTCCAGCTTGTACCCATTGCCCCTTGTCCTGTCATTGGACGTTGCCGAAAAGACCCTGGCCCCGCCCCCCTGACACTCCCCCTTGACGTATTTATAAACATTTATGAGGTCACCCCTCAGCCTCCTCTTCTCAAGCTAAAGAGCCCCATCTCCTTCAGCCTTTCCTCACCAGGGAGATGTTCCATCCCTCCATCATCTCTGTGGCTGCGCTGGACTCTCTCCAGCAGTTCCCTGTCTCTCTTGAGCTGAGGGGCCCAGACCTGGACACAAGATTCCAGATGTGGCCTCACCAGGGCAGAGCAGAGGGGCAGGAGGACCTCTCTCGACCTACTGGCTACTCCCCTTCTAACCCAGCCAGGAAGCCATTGGCCTTCTTGGCCATGAGGGCACACTGCTGGCTCATGGCCATCCTGCTGCCCACCAGCTCCCCCAGGGCTCTTTCCCCTGCGCTGCTCTCCAGCAGGTCAGTCCCCAGCCTGTGCTGGCACATGGGCTTGTTCTTTCCCAAGTGCAAAACTCTACACTTGCCCTTGTTGAACTTCATCAGATTTCTCCCTGCCCAGCCCTCCAACCTGTCCAGGTGTCTCTGAATGGCAAGGACTTTCGCTGAAAATACCAGCCCTGAGAAAAGGGCTAACCTTTATTACGAGTGTCAGGCTTAATTCTCAGTTTTCTGCAAACCTTGTTACATCAAATCACAATAGTTCAGTGCCTCTTACAGGAGGTCCCACATTTTGCTGAGCTTGGGGTGGGATCCCAGGCTTTGCCCTCCCCACGTGCTGAAGCGTTGCAGCAGTAGCAGCAGTTTGGTGCCAGGTTGCTCGTACACCCATGCCACTCCCCAAGTACTGACCAGACAGCTGCTTGGGCAAGCCCAGGGGAAAAAGAAATAAATTAAAAAATCAGCAGCGTGGCAGATGCATTTAGCCAGGCTGCCATTCCCTGGATCCTCCCAGGGATGGTAGATGAGTGGAAGATGCTCTTTGAACCGTGCCTCTCCAGCTTGGTCAGGGTTATCCCATCTTTTGAGCTCCAGACTAACATTTGGTAGTCAAGAACCAACAAAACAAACACAAAAGGAAACAATTAATTGCTTGTTATGAGACTAGTAATTTTTCTTTGAGATGGCTTTTTAAATGTGCTCTTTGAGAATTTCTGAGTGATATGGATAGATCCGAGAGCGAGCAAAGAAGTTTCCTTACAAGGCCTTCAAGTCCTCTCTTCTCCTCTCCCAATGTAATATTACACAGATTTAATGATTAATTCTAGCTTCATCCCCTTTCGTATGTAGAGTTGTGTAACTATTCTAATTAAATATGCACGTGGTAAAATTGCAAACTAGACAGAGCTATCTGGTCTTGGATGATGGCAATTAAATGATTTATATTTACAGGCATCAATATTTATCTTATGCCTACTGTGTGTCCTAGCTTGTCATCTATGGTTGGGTGTATAGTTCATTGGCTTTAGTTAGCGTTGTGGTGTCTTCTCTGGACACTGTGCTCTTGGCTGAGGAGAGTATTGCTTTTCCTAAGATTGTGTTGTAAGACCATATTTTAACTTTTAAAACTACTTGGTCTTTCCGTGTTCACCTGAGGAGTTTTTTCCAGCCTAAAAGTTTCAGAAAAGTAAGGCTTCAAGGTGCTTAAAATAAAAGAGTCGGTGTCTCCTTCTACCCTGAATTGTTCTCAAACAGGGAGCTCTTGCTAAAATTATTTAGGGTGATGCCCCTGACAAAAATATGGATGAACCAAGTCCCAGTTTCCACTGAGCTTCAGTATGTTAACCAGGCACAATTTATTTTTTCTTTTCTGCAGTTCTCCTTGGCTCTCGCAGGGTCAGAAGCAGCAGTAGCACTTTGGCTGCTCCCAGTTGAGTCATTTGGAATGCAAATCGCTTTGCAGTGATGCCAGAGGTTCCCTTTGTGCTGGACTTTATATAAAACGCGTGACAGATTGTCAGCTTGGTCACATTCCCTGGGCAGCGGGGAATCGGTAGAGCCTTCAGCTTCTGATTCAGACAGAACTGGACTAGTATCGGAAGATCTTAGTCAGCTTTGCAGATAACTGTAAATCCTGTCAGAGTGCTTCTGACTGATATTTTGGTACTAACATAACTCCTCAGCGCAAATAAATGTGTGCTGGGGAAGCTCAGCAGAACATGTGCTCTGGGGAATACAGTCCCCCCACACCCTTCCCCGCCTTTCTTCGCTCTCCAAACTGGATATGAAGAACAGAAGTGAAGCCTCGGGGAACATAGCAAGCAGCATAAATTATCTGCCTTTGATTGATCTTGCACCATCTGAGCTGCAGGGATATTGGGGGCTGCAGCAGCACGTGTTGCATCTACACAGAATCTTGCGGGAAAGGGGGCTCTTGGCTGGTGAATAAGTGCTCCGAGTTTGGGCAAGGACTCTCCGCACAGCTGGGCAAATAGGAATGAGAGTAAAGTTCTTTGGAAAATAAAGTGATGGATTTTTACTTTTTTGTTACTTTTTTTTCCCTGTGCTTTGCTGCCTATTAAATACCTTCTTGGTTAGTTTACATGGAACTGAACTCAGTATGTCTTGAACTGAATTGTCTCTGAAGAGCTGGGCTGAAGTGGCCTGGTGTGAATCTGTGGTACACTAGTGATTAAATAAATTATATCCATAAATCATGTTGGGCTTTTGAGTTACTTTAACGCTTCCTTTAAAAATACTCATTTAGAGAGAAACACTGAACATTCTTTTCCTACTTAGACCCATGTTACTAGGACAAGGCATGAATGTCTTTACCATTTCAATTTTAAATAAAGAAAAGCTGAAATTTCTTGGGGAAAACAATTTTGGGGATGCGAAATATGTTTTTTAATCATTGTGCAAATCTTAATTTCTGAGATTATCAGCTTTGATTCTCCTGAGTAGCTCTATCAGCACAATCCACAACACCAATATTAGGGAATTGGCTCTGAAAGCTGAGAAGAGTGACTGTAAAAGTGACTATTTGGCATGGTGAATGGAAAGAGTAACAAGATAATGTTTAAAGCTCTTACACAACTCTGTTAAAGCCTCCATTTTGGAAAATTGTCTCGCTGTCTCGATCTGTCACCCTGACTTTTGTCCCCTGGGTTTCAAAGATGCTGCTCTTTCGGGTCTTCTATCTGCATCATTTTGTAGATACAGTAACTTCTTAAAAATCAGATTTGGATTAAAAGACTTTGAACAAATTGTGTTAAAATAGGACCTCATCTTCTATCTTCACTATCACGTTAGGTTGTCTGGAGCTTAAATCCTCTCCAAATCCAGAATCTCGGTGCTGAAGTTGCTGGCGAGATACAGTCCCTCTCCGAGGGAACGTGAGCTGGAGCGAGCAGATGGAACAAACAGACGAGCAGGCTTTGCAAGCAGTTGGAAAATAGGTCTTGAAAGGGATTTTGGTATAGGAAGCAAATAGATCTGGATGAACAAGGCTGGCAGTCATAAAGCTTTTGTTTCTTTCTGCCTTTACTTTTCCTGTAAACTTTGCTTTCTTTGACCTTAGACCAGAATTGCCCTCAGTTCAGGATCCTCTTTTTTTATGCATGCTTTGAGAACATAGGCGCTCTCTCTGCTCTGCTGGCGATTTTGTTCTTTTTCAGCAAGCCTTGAGGTTTAGTTCTCTTATTATCCTTGTTCTGATAATTTTCCCTTTGGGACAGGAGGTAGTCTAGAGGCAAAACACTATGGAAACCACATGAGCTGTGCGTTTGAAAAGGAGCTGATGAAGCTACCAGCCTCTTTGCAGTCTTATCAAGGGTGTCTTTGTAGGGGTGATAAAATCAGCTCTCAGACTTCTGCCAAGTTTTTTTTCATTTCTCTTACGCTTTGCAGCCAGACTTACTGGCTTTACTTTCACTTCTGTCTGAAGTGGTGCAGGTAGAAGTTAGGCTTTGTTGCTTCCGTGCTGGAATGGGGATTGACAGAGCCTTGACAGCCTCGGTGCGTGTGAAAGCCACACAGCCAGGCCGGGGAACTTGCAGAGCTCTCTAGAGCAACTCCCAGCGCTGTGTGCCCTGAGACCACGCCAGCGATATTATTGAACTCACCTTCTAAATGTTTGTCTGTGAGTTGCCTATTCAGGTACTCGCAGCTTCAAATCTGGAACGAATGTGCTTTTTCAAGCTAGTTCAGACTGCACACGTTCCTTATGTGGGAAATAGCGTGTAACCACCGGTTGAGATCTGTTACTGCGTGTGGAGCCCTAATTAGAAAACGGAGGTTTGAAGGGCAGCTGGGAGCCGAGTGCCTAGTAGCCTGCTCCATGTGCCATAGATGGCTGAGATTAAAAATCTCTCAAATGGCTTTGCATTTGGAAAACCTTCTGAGAGGCATGCCGTGTTAATTTTAAATGTAAATCATGTATTCTTCTCTTTCTTATAGGAACTGGAGACATTGTTGCTGTCATGATTACAGAATCAAAAGTTAAGGAGATCCTGAATTACTTGGAAAAGAATATCTCTGTCCTGATGGCAATAGCAGTGGGATCCCGTGTTCCTCCAAAAAACTTCAGTCGGGGCTCTCTAGTCTTTGTGTCAATATCATTCATAGTTTTGATGATAATTTCTTCAGCATGGTTAATATTTTACTTCATCCAGAAGATCAGGTACACAAGTGCACGTGACAGGAATCAGGTAAGATGACTCTATTAATTTAATTTTTTTTTTTTTCCCGTTTAAGTTCTGGGTGTGATACTTCTGTGTACACTAGTCAGCAGAGAACAATCATTTCTAAGGAATGTCCATCAAACTAATTTTCCGAACCTCTTTGTTTTGAGGCAGATCTTGTTGCCAGACAAGGATTTTTATATAGCAAAGTCTTTTCATCTTGAGCAGCACCAGTACAAGGTCTTACTACCTGACAGGAAAGAGTAGAACTCAAGCAAAATATTTAGGTTTTGATGAGTTGTAAGTCCAAGAGGGAGGTAGATTCTGTGTTGGCTGAATAATACATACTGTATGTACATTGGGAATAGGGAAGAAAGTTAAGTTGTGAATGAACTTGGGTAGTGTAGGGGAACACTGAGCTAACGTTACGAATTCTATCCATGTTCTTAAGGATGGCTTCAGTGTCGGTTAAGGTAATTCAGAAGTTGTATAAAGGTATTTCCAAGCTAGAATCCCTAATGAATATTAGGATATGCAAACTAAGGTATGGAGCTGCTTAGTGATCTGTGTTAACTTCCAGCTTTACTCAAGATCACGCTTCGTATGGATTCCCTAAGTCTCTTAGTTGTGTATTTTAAGAAAAATTTTGTCCACTACACCTTTTTGACATTCTTTTTCAACTCTTAATTTGTTCAAGGACTGAATTAAGTATAGCCATACTCAGAAATCTTGATTAAATAAATCCATCAACTCAAATATGAATTAAACTTTAGAAGCAAGTATTTTACTGGTGTGGACTCAGTTAATGACCCACTGTCTCCATAGCGTGCCTTGGCTTTTAGTGAGAAGGGTCAGTGAACCTCAGGAAATCCCTTTGCCTTTGCGTCTCGGTCAAGACTAACTCGCAGAGCTGCTGACCTCCTATCACTGTCACCCTTTTCCCACTAAATTACGACTGACACACAGGAGCACGCTCTGAGGCAGAGCTTTGGTGTTTTGTCAAACCTAAAACAAACACAACCTTACAGATCCTCGGTTGTGACAAAGGATTTCCTTTTCAGTTTCTATAAATAGTGTCTGATGCTGCAGGTCCCACGGGCATCTTGTAGATTTTCCTAACGATGTCATTCTGAAGTGACCACACTGCAACCAGTACTTAGTGCAGTCCCTTGGGATGGGGAAAGTTTAAATATAACTGTTACTCAATGAGTGTCTGTGAAGTATTAAATTGTGCCTTCTGCATCCCCTACATGGCTCTAGGCTTCTTCCAAATGTCCACATTTCAAAACAGTTGCTCCACGGGGAAAAGACTTTTCTGACCTTTTTTCTTTCTTTAGATTTTTACAAAGGTCAGGAGAAACTTGATGAAAATTTTATGTGGTTTAAAAAGCTGAGCTTATTAAACTTTAATAAGAAGGTGGCGACAGCTACAGCTTGTTTTTACAGAGCTTTGAGAGCTTTCACAGAGAGAAAGCTGTACTGTTAGTGATGAAATCACTTGGTTTAGGCTATGATCTTGTTTTTAAGTTATGTCGAGGCACACTTTAAAAAAAAAAAACATCAAAGTCAAAAACATGCTGTGTTTTGTAGATAGGGCAGGTAGATACTGGTATTTCACATCGTTGCTCTTGCGCGCTTCCGCCAGAGCTACGAAACTCCTCTGCGTGTGCTGGTGGCCTTTCCCACTGAGCCAGCTCTGGGTTTTAAAAGCAGCCGTATCCTGTATGCCTGTGCCCTCACTTGTCAAAACAGCAGATCCTGAGCATTCCCAATGCTGGCATAAAAAAGTATTTGTTAAAGTTAGAATACGGAAGAGATGGAAATAGAAGAGGTGAAAGTTATTGTTTAGCAAATTTATATGGGAGAACATGTTTACATTTTGGAAGAGTTTTGCTGAAATGTTATGCTTCCAATAGGAAAATAATCTCTCTTTAAGTTTTCTTGTAGTGCATGTACAATTGTATGCAGTACAACTCGATATAAATAGTACCCACCATTACTTAGTTGGTAGTGTTGAGCGTTTAAGTTAAATGCCTTTCCAGCCTTGTTCCTCTCTTAGTGATCACACTTTGGGTTATACGATGATTATCGACTCCAGCAGCATGCCAGTGTGTGCTGTCGGTAGGTGCTTGGGCCAGCGTGCTTGTTCCAGGACATGCAATTTAGATTTGCTTAAATTGATGAATTCTCACATGTGGCAGTTAGGATGAGGTTTCTGACTTCAGGAAGCATGTGATTTCCCCATCCTAGTTCTGTTTCTGATGCTGCATTTCCTCTGTGGATATACTTCAGTAGTTGGTAATGAGTATCTGATTTTTTAAATTGTTTTTCTCCAAATCTATGCTCTAAAAAATGTAAAATAAGAGCTCTTCTTATATGGAAACCACAAAGAAAAAAGGCTTATGTAATTCTAGAATAACAGTGGTGCTGTTGATTGTGGTGGACTTCTGAGGTCTTTGTGTTTCTCAAACGAAAGCCACCTGCCTTAGTTTCAGTTTGTGTGCAGAGAAAGTGTATGGTACTGGGGAGGTACACCTTGTGATGCATTTAATTTTCAACTGTGGAGAAGCAGAGCACGAAAAACACTTTTTTTTTTTTTTTTTTTTTTTGGCAAGCCGCATGTGAGAATTTGGCAAGTGTGGTTTCCATTCTCACAAAGAGCCCGTCTCTTTCAGAGACAGAGTATTCAGTACAAGTTGGAGGTGCAGGATGAAATACCTGAACTTCCCTTGTTCCAGTCAATGTTAACCAAATCTGATTTCTTGGGTTCCTGAAATGAGAAGACGCGAGCTGTGTCCCACTTGGTCCCAGGGACGCTGGGGAGCAGCTGGCCAAGAGCCCGTTCTTCGCTGACTGGGGACAGGGATTGCAGGAGGAGCCAGCACTTGGATTGCAGAAAAGGCTCCTTCCCTCCAACAGTGGTGGCTGTAAAAACAGCGTAACAACGGAAGAATAGCATAGACTCTGCCTTTGGATTGAAGTTCATCTTCAAACTATTATTCGTTTCAGCTTTATTTAAGTCTGCATGGGCTTATTTAGATTTCGTGACCCATATTTGTCTTTTGCTTTGTGAGATCTTGGTGGTTTCGGGTAATAGCAAGAGAGAAACTAGGTTACACTGAGAGTATCTCTTATGTCTCAGAATAAGATCAGCCTGCTCAGGGAAGAGAAAAAAAAATGAAAAAAATTGTTCAAGCTGAGAAAAATGAGAGGTATATAATAGCACACTGAATAAGAAGCAGTATGAACAGAATATAACAGAAATCATTGAGAGGGCATGTTCCTTCAGCTTTTTTTTTTTTGCTTTTTTTTTTTCCCTGTGGACTGGGATTGATTAATTTTGTCACACAAATGTTGGATCACTTTTGTGGATTGTATACAGCCCATGAGATTTATGCCCCTGCTTATCGAGTGCGTTTGTGGGCTCAGCTGCTGGGTCCTTTTCTTCTGCCTGGCAAATCTGTGTGCTTTGCTCTGAATGCTTTTTGTCTCGTGTGGTGGCCTCCTGCCATAGTGTGTATTGCAACATTCGTGTTGAGCCCAAATAAGTAATTATGAAGGACAGTAATGAAGCTTGATTATCAGGGTTAATTGTGTTCTTTTCTTTGTCACTTCATTAGCGTCGTCTTGGAGATGCTGCCAAGAAAGCCATCGGTAAATTGACAACCAGGACAGTAAAGAAGGGTGATAAGGTATAATAATAAGATTTCAGCCTGGATAACTTGAGCATCATGTTTAATTTTTGCTGGGGGAAACAATCTCAGTTTTTCCTTTCTGCTTCTGATTTATCACCTGCCTGCCAAGTTGGAGGCTTACTTTGGCCTGTGACACAGTATTTTGTGTAACTTCTGGTAGCAGTGTTAATTCTGTACATTTCAAAAAAGGTTTTCTTGCTTTAAATACTCCTTGCACTCCACCTGCAGCTGTGGCTGAGAGCGGTTTTTTGTACTGGCTGGCTGGAGGATTTTGCTGGTGGGAGTGCATAAGGCTAGCATTGTTTACGTGGAATTCTGTAAGCTTAGAGTCATTTCATATGGAAGTCATGTAAAGTAAAAATAAATACAAAAACAGGTAATAAAGGACAATCTTTTATGTAAAATGTGAGTACTGACTAATCTGAGGGGGAGCATAAACAGATATTTCCATGAGGATAGCAAAATGTCACTCCAATAATATTTCTTGCCAGTATATGAACTAAAATAGATGGTGTGGTAAGTCCTAAACTACTTCTGCTTTTATGAGCAGTACTGCTTTGCCTTTGATTCTGAAAGGAAAAAATAGTCACTTAATCTTGCTTAATTTTTTGCTCTTCAATTTGAAAAAGGCAAGGGTATTCTGCCTGTGATTTGATTTTCAAGAGATTATTTTCTTGACCCTGTTAGTGTGATTTCTTTTTATCTTTCTTATCAACACTATCAGCAGTGGAGCATTAAGAAGTGATGGAAAAATTTGCTTCCAGAGAGAAGGCAGAAAAAAAGTCTTTTCTGCGCTTTCTTCCTCCCTATGTACTTTTATTTCAAGACACTAAATCTTTTCTGTGAGTATGCGAGTACATAGAGGTAATGGGAGCTTCTCTGTACTAAAAGAAAAGATGCTCTTGAGAGTACAAATTCCAAACTGGCAGGTGACGGGTAGGTTGCAACACAGATGGTGTGAGATGCCAATGCAGGTGAACGAAGAGTAAGAGAAAAACCCATTGTCCTTCGTTAGAGGAGCCTGTGGGATCCTCTGCCTGCAGCTCTGGCCAGGGACAGGCTCTTGTCCTGCTGGGGATCCTGTCTCGGTGTCTCACTAGCAGCGAAAAGAATCATGAACTTGAATTAAAAGAAGATGCTATCTGTTTTGTATCACAGGCCCAAGTATTTTAAATATAGATTGCTGGTGCCATATCGACATCCAGGTGAAGTCAGTCTTTTGCCATGAGAAGTTTTAAATTCTTATATTTAAGTAAGATAAAATCATAACTTAGGGAAAAACAGATAAAAGAGAAGAACCAGTCAGTCAGTGATCCTCATCTTCGTGTCTGGAGAAGAATTAGGATAATTCTGCTAGTAAGCAGCAGACAAAAATACGGAATTCCTCTGAAGTAAGTAAAATCTGCTAATTTTGGCTGCAAAAGGGAATCCCAGGATTCTTATCCTGCAAAAAAAAATAATAATCCTGGAATAAAATCAAATTTTCAGCTTCAAGCTGAAGTAAAGCCTTTAGGAATATCACCATTGTATTTTATAGTGATTCAGCTGAATATTAGAATTGTCTTAGGCCTTAGCTTATGTTTGAAATGATCATTTACCAGCTCCAAAGGAGGGGAGAGTTTTGAGTGTATGAAATACTTTTCTTTCTCAAGTCACGTTGAAATATAACCACTTAGTCATTGGATTTGTATCTTCATGCTAACAGCCGATTGGCACAATGTACTAGTCACAACTGCTTTTCCGTTTGTCATAGCTTCGACTCTTGACTTGAATTTTCATTCTGTTCATTTTAGGAAACAGACCCAGACTTTGATCATTGTGCTGTCTGCATTGAGAGTTACAAACAGAACGATGTTGTTCGCATTTTACCATGCAAGTAAGCTAGTAAAGTTGCTTTGTTTGGAAACTGTTCTTTCTTTGTGTTCCTTTGCTTCATTTCATGTAATATTGATGCTGCTGTAATTTACAGACACGTTCGTTAGATGTTTCCAGCCCTAATAACAACCACTTTATTTTTGACTATGATACCAGAAGGTGTGAAGGTGGGTGCTGGCACTGTTGTTGTACAGGAGATTAAACAAAAGGTGATGGTCTTGACGGAGAGCAGTGTGGACGTGTCAGCAGTGGGGCGGTTAAGGATGTAAGGAGAGGCAAGTGCAGATTTGAGGACAGAGCAGTGGGCAGACACTAAAAACTGGAGTATAATGAGCCAGGGACAGCTGCAGGGTTCTGCACAGGAGATGTGCAACGTTGGCTGCTGGTGTGTGAAACCATGTGGGAAACGGAAATGCGGTCTCCCCAACCCTCACACCTCCTCTGCCATCAGTCACCCCCGTGCCATCGTCTGTCTTTGCTCTCTCCAGCACAGGGGGTTCTTGGCTTGCGCCTGAAGACTCGTACTTGCTGGATATTCTGCATTGGTACTCAAAATGTACCAACTTCCTCCTCCTCTCATGCTGTTTTTTTGCCATTTACCAGTGTTCAGTTTGTTTCCATCCCAGTTCCATTCCTGAGTTGTTTTGGGGTATTTGCTCTTTGAGAGATGCTTCTAAGTACTTTTCCACCTGGTGATTGGTTTTGACGCATCGGTGCGTTTTGGAAGCCTTAAGCATTACCAAGGACATCTTTCCCTTGTGTTCTGAAATGCAAAGCTTTCTCCTTATCTCCAGACACAAAAAAACACATGTAAATTATGTTGTATATATGCAGCCAAGATCCAGTAATTTGGCCTCTGTGCTAGATATATAAATAGTGCTCTGCAGGATACTCTAGAAGCAACAAAGTCATGGTGTTGGAGTCAGTCTTCAGGCACACAGCAGCACCTGAGAGCTCATTATTGGTCTTCTAAATCCTCCTGCAGGCTGTTCTGAATAGCTGGAATATTTTACTTCTAATGCATAATGAATTTCTGTCATCATAAAAAGAAAACAGTATTACTTTGTATCTTATTGATCAAAATATGTGTGTGCTCTACTTCTGAAGCCAGAAGTTTAATTCATTTTACTTCTCTCTATATTCTTTACCTCTTGGACTGCGGGAAATAACGACCTGTTTTAGATTCTTGGTGATGTTGTTTCGTTAATATGCCCTGTAAATGTTTGTTTAGAAAATCCCATGAAAATGTTTGCAAATAGAAGAGTTTATCTGTAGATCTGTAAAGATTTGGGAGCTTTTGGTCATGTGGCTGTGTGTGCATTTCTTTTTTACAATTTAGTCATTTTTACTCCAAGATTATGTCCTCTTGCCCTAAAAAATGTACTCCCAAGTGTTAAGATTCCAGAGAATTATGTCCTACATTGTATTCTCAAGTCAACCTTGCATGTGTGAATCAAATCCTAGTATTTTGAATTGTTATATAGAAGATTATTTGGAAACACTGGTTTTGAACCGCTATAAATGATTTTTTGATAAGCTTCACTTGTGTAGCTCGGGGCGGTGCTGTGAGGATCAAGGCTGTGGAATGGAGGTTCCCAAGTCCCACTCCTCTGTGCCTTCCTCGTGAGACTGAGCAGAGGTCAGAGGGAGATCCTTGCAGGGAAGGGAGAACGAGGCTTCATCTGGTAGGAAAGCATCTTCTCCCACAACGCGCAAGGCAGAGCTGGGACTAAAAGTCAGCTTCATTAGTTAAACAGCCACCACTGTCCAAGCAATGGGTATGGAGCTAGTATCAGCAGATCTGGTACAGACCTTTTAACCAAGATGATCATTGATTTTTATTATTTTTTTTAAGTCCATTTCCTTCAGACACCTTTGGTTTTCACAAGAATATAAGGTCAGTGGAGACTTGCATTATGTTCCTACCAAAGGCTGTTTGACAACTTCCGTGTTTGCTTTCTACTTCTCTTTTTTAAATCTTGCTTTTCATCTGCTGGAGCTCAGCTTTTTGAGTTGAGTGCAGAAATGTCTTTGTTACACAGAAACAGCAAGACGGATACTTTCCGCAAGACATTTTTTATATTTGTAGACGAAGAGGCAACCAGTACCTGCAGAGATGAGCACCACAAATTTCTGATTGTATGTAAGGCTTTTCAGTCTTTAGCATCTGAGATGCTTCTCCCCAAATCTTGTTTTGGAGGCTTAATCCCTTTCAAACTCCTGATACTTCAACCTCTTGTTTTAGTGCAACATGTAAAGTCAGTTTAAAAAAAAACACCAAAAAACTAAAAAAAACCACACACAAACGTACAGAAGCCAACTGAGAAGGTGCAAGAAAATTGTGGAGAAAATGGTCTGACCAAGAGGAAGCAAATGAGAGGCTAGAAATTTTTCTTACTGTGCCTGTTGAGGAAGCTATAATCATTAGACAGTAGGAATCACTGACATAGGACATCCTTGCTGCTTTCATCAATTCAAAAGTAGCATTTCCCTTTGGTACCACAGCTGTTCCCTGCAGTTTAAGTACGGTCTGTCTCTCTGTGCCTCAGCAGAGAGGAGTCTGGTCTGGGCAGACACACAGCAGGCAAAACCTGCCAGCAGCTCAGCACGTTGCACCTAATTTCTGTAGTGAAACGCCGTATTGGTGATGTAAAGTTTTGTGGCAGGTGGGAAGCTGTGGCCAGTTCATAAATAAACTAAAGTGGAAATGGCTGCAAACAATGCAGCTGAATTTCTAGCATTCCTTTTGTGCTTCACTGAGAGGAGTATGTTCAGTACCAGCAGCCTATGGACATCCCTACAGCTTTTAGTGCTCAGAGGAATAAGTCTTAGGTTTACAGGCCTGAGGAACATCTCTGTCTTTTGTGAAAATCGTTATGTAAGTTAAAAATGAGTAGGCAAATGTCAGAAGGATTCTAGCAAAATACAAACCTCATGGCCAGTTTTCTTTATTCGGATAGTTTTACTCTACTGTTGCGTCTAGGAGATGAGCAGGCACTAGGTGAAAAGCGATCAGGAGAGGGTAGCGTGAAGGACTAGTGAGAGATAAGGGAAGGGGAGAGCAAAGTGACAGGTTAGAGAAAAGCAGAGGGAGTGACATTGGAAAGGGCAGAAAGATGGCCTGGGAAGGAAGGAATTAACAAGACAGGAAGAAGATTAAAGGAGTAGTAGATACATTAAAATAAATGGCTTTTGAGCTAAATTCCCAATAGTTCATATACCGGGCAAGAAGAGGGAAAGTGACAAAAGTGACTAAGCCAGATTTTCATGTTTGATTCTGTGCTGCTGCAAATAGCTGCTTTTCCTTCTTTTTTTTTCTTTTCTTTTTTTTTTTTTTAAGAGCAAGTTAGCACAGTATCTCAATGCCATCCTTTCTGCTCACTGCAATGACTCTGCACAACGCCCGCTTTCTGCGCTACCTGCCTGCACGGGCAGGCTCTCTTCTCCCCCAGCAGCGCTGCGGACTTGTGCAACGCACCGAGGCTGCTCTCTCCTGGCATCGCCTGCCGTGGGGAGAGACGTGGTGCCTTCCAGACACCTCTCCTCAGCCGTGCTGGCTGTCACGGGCTGCCTGCGGCAGGGCAGGAAGGACCTGTGCCCACTTGCCAGCCCAGCTGGAAGGTTTGTCCCCCAGGGCGAGGCGAGCAGCTGCCCCGGGTGCCAGCCAGAGGTGCTGCTGTGCAGCAGCACGTTGATCGGGTGCCTTTGGTGGGGTGCTGCACCCAGAACGGGGAAGTGTAGTGAGCTCTTGGGGAAATAGCACTTGTAAACTCACTCCAACTCTTCTTCTGTGACGTGCGAATTCAAAGGCATTGCACCACCAAGAGAGATTTCTAACTCAATTTCTCTCTGCGAAATGCTGCAAAGAAGGCATGTTGGACAACAGAGTAGGCATTAGGGTGTTTATGACAAGCTGGAGTGCAGCTGGCTTGGGTATGCTGACAGAGTGGAAAAATACCTGCAGGTCACCTGTTTGGAGTTATGCCCGCATGGGAGACTCCTTCGGTGCTACCAGCCCGGCTGCCGGCCCTGCTTCCTCCGGCCCCGAGGCTGCAGAAGCAGCAGCAGATGTGTCACACTTGACTCCCCGGTGTCTGGCTCCTGGGGGAACATCATCAGCTGCTGTGACCTAGAGCAGCTCGCTAGGAAATCTTCAGAATTATGGTCTTGGAAAACAAGTGACAGATACATGAAGATGGCAGAAAATGCAAGGGCTTCCTTTGTCGGACTGAGATTTTAAAATAGTCCATGTGTTTACTATCTTTATTGCTGTATAGCTGCTCTTTAACTCTTGCAAGCAGAGAAATCCAGACAGAGCCTGAGCCATAATGATGGTATCAGCAGGCTTTTTAAGGAGTAGATAAACTGCACGAGTGGTAGACAGAGCCATGCTGATCTAAATCAATAAATAACCTTTGGAGAACTGCACTTTTCTGAAACACATAAAAAGACATCCTTGAATGTTTAGGAACTAAAAGCAAAGAATTAAGAGGTCACAAAAATAGTTTTAGTGCATTTAAACTATATCAAACTGCTAAGGACTCTTTAAAATAACTCCTGTTTAGTAGATGTATGTTGGCATCCATATCAGTTCCCTGCTTCATTTGATCTGAGTGCTTCTACAGCACTGATTAGCAGATAACAATATATTAAAGCTGTTTTCATACTTCTGTGGAGTCTTGATGTCTGCTCTTTCCCAAAATATTAGATTTTCAGGTTTATCCTACGCTATTAAAAAAAAACAAAACAAAACAAACCCAAAAAAATACTTCAGAGCCTTAAAAGGAAACATGAACAACTAAAAGCCATGATTTTCCTAACATAAAAAATAGTATCTCTATATGTTTCAGAAGATTTTTAAATCATTTTCTATCACCCAGGATTTCTAAACATTATTTTTCCTCTAGTTTTGTGAGTAACAAAGGGAATGCATTAAGACCTAATAGAAATGAGTCAATATTTTGTGCAATTATTTGAGCAGTAAGCAATGTGTGTGTCCTGGTTTTCATGACTGCTGTATTGCTAAAGGACACAGGCCAGCGAAGTGACTAGCTGAGAGTCTCCAAGTTTCTATTTCTGCAATATTTGGTATGTAGGTAAGTAAAGTTCTTCAGCTCCCCATCCGTCTTCTGTTGAGTATATTATACTCTGTAAGTCTATGCATCTCTTTAGTTAGTACAGGTAGTATATGTGGTTGTAGCTGACTGGAACCTAATTCTATTGATTTACTTTAGTCCCACCTTCAGTGTTAGTAGCTATAGACAAAACATAATTATATACTGTCTTATTCCACCTTTGTTAACCATTTGAGGAGGCCTTTCCTTCAGGTCACCTTCCAGAGACTTAAAAGAGAATTATCTGCTAACGTGTCTCATTTGGGTCTCTGGTATTAAAATCACAAGGAATAGGGAACGAAGGAGTCCCAGACCCCATGACGACCTCACTTGAGGGACAGAGCAGCAAGTATAACCTGAGAAAGGAGGGGTCGGAGAGTATCTCGACTTCGTGCTGCCTTGGGAGCATGGATGACCTCTTACAGCCGTGATGATGCCCCAAACAGATGGCAAGAACTCCTTGTTCTGTCACTGCCCCTTTGCCTGCTGGTTCCAGAACGCAGCTCTTTGCTGGCTAAGCAGCCTTTGCAACTTCTGATCTTGGTCACGTTCACCGGGCTGTCGTGTTCGGGTGTGCCGCCCTTACTGGTTTTCTGCTCTGCAGTCAGTGCCACGGGAAGTGAAAGGTCTGAGTTCTTATCGTGGGTGGCTGTTCAGATGAGGTTATCATGAGTATTTGCTAAAGCTCTGTTGTGTAGAAAGTCTGGTGATACCCACTCCTGCCATGGATACGCTCTGAGAAGTTCTTTCCCTTTTGACCAGCTAAGAGGCCATTTCCTTTAGTTTCTTTAATTTACATACATTGTTTTGGTCTTTGCACAGTCCTTCCTCGTTATATCGGTTTATACCAATCTCAGCACTGTTACATTCATATTCATGTATGTGACTAAGATTTTGTATGCAATGTAGGTGGCGATTCAGACTGTTCTCTATTTTGGAGTTCCCTGCTGGGCAAGTAGAAGCCCAGTTTGCCTTTGTCTTTGAAAGATTGTTTTGTTTTTATGACTGTCATGTGATGATGGACATGTTTTCCTTCTTGAGATCAAGAAATACTAATTGTAGGAAAAGCCTTCTTTTTACTTAGATGTGATAATTATAGAAGCCCTTTGAAAATCAAACATAAGTGTGTTTGGATTGGTTGCACTGGCTTTTGAATAAAATTGACCACTGGTGGGTCTGTGATCTTCCTACCCAGTTTATGGCCAGGTTCTACATAGAAATTGCGACAAGATGTTGCACAAGGTTACGATCAGGACGTTGTTACCCTAGTTATTCTACCCATGTGCATACTTATATTCACTGCAAAAGGGAGAAAATCCCTTCCTTTTAAGTGTTTCTTCCTAGTTATACTATTACTAAAGGATGGCAATAAGAAGCAAGAAGTTTTGATTATTTTTTTTCTTATTACAATTAGTACAAAATACTGGCAATTCTAGCATTTGTTCTGCTGGCTTAATTAAAAAAAAAAAAAACTTAGCTAAAAGCTTGTTAAAATAATTTATATAACCTGGAATTGTTTGCAAGTTACATATGTGCCTTGTCTGTTCTTCTAGGCATGTTTTCCACAAAGCCTGTGTGGATCCGTGGCTTAGTGAGCACTGTACGTGCCCAATGTGTAAACTGAACATTTTGAAGGCACTGGGAATTGTGGTAAGCTGCGCTGTTGTGAGCTCCTCTTCCTCCCATGTCTGAGACCCCAGACAGGATAAATAATTTTGGGGAGCAAGGGGCAAGAGTGTTCCAATACCCTTACTCAGAAAGTGTTTGGGGCTTTTTTTACCAATTTCTTTGCTGCTGATAAAGCTGATTTGTTGGTTTTGTTCTTTTCCCTTGTTGGTCATTGCGAATATATTGTTGTATTTGCATTTATAACAATTTCTTCTCTACAGTAAGTCTACTAGGTGCTCTGGTATCTTCCCTTTTCTGAATTTCTTCCAGCCTTTGCTAAATTTACTCTGTAAATCTCTTGTTGTGGTCTCCTGTAGATACTCTTGGATTTGTTTGCACATTAAAAGCTGTGCCCTAGCCGAGGCCAGCAAGTTTTCCGGAAGCAGCTCATGGCTTATGGGATCCCTGATGACCAGTTCAAAAAGAATTGAGGAACCTCAAAGAGGATTTTTTTTTTATCTTTCCTGTATGAGCAATATAAAGTGGAAGTAGTTATCTTTTCAGGAGAAAGAGAAGAGCACATGACGATATTGTCTTAAGCAGCTTTTGAATTAAGCCAGTGAGGATAATCAGGCCTTCATTTTTAGCTGTGTATCAGCTGCAAATTTGTATGTTTTCTAAGAAATAGTTGCAGGTATATTGTGGAGGATCTGTTTTTGCAGTTAATGACATACCTGGGTTTTTAGAGGAGGATAGAATAGAATTCGGTGCGTGCTGCCATTGCTCGTGCTGGTAAACCACACGGTCATGGGCTGCGATACAAGCATATTTGAGTCCCTTCCCTGAATCTAATCCTTTTTTCTGCATCCTCTTCCACCTCTTTAAGGTGGAGTGAAGGAGAGACTTCAAACAGAACTTGCCAATTCATGTGCTTCTCTCCAGTGTGATGTGAGGACAGCCGTAGCAGCTGAATAAAGCACGCACGTGTGGTTTTACCCAGTTGATGGGTTTGCTACGTGTAGAATATTCACTGTTGTAATGCGGATTCACTTTTTTTTATTATTATTTCTCCAGCCAAATGTGCCATGTACAGATAACGTAGCCTTTGACATGGAAAGGCTGACCAGAGGCCAACCAGCTAGCAGGCGGTCGGCCCTCGGCGACTTTGCCAACGACAGCTCTCTCAGCCTGGAGCCCCTGCGCACCTCCGGGCTGTCGCAGCTCCCACAGGACGGAGAGCTGACGCCGCGCTCGGGAGAGATCAACATCGCCGTGACAAGTGAGTTTTTCTTGGGCTTCCAGCACTGTCCTATGGTTTTCCCGGTCTGTGGCACTTACTCTGCTGTAGCTCTGTGCTGCAGGGCTGTGGCGAAAGATTTCTCTGCAGGGACAAAGGTGACCTCTCTGTCTCTGTAAGAGGCGGACGCTCCATGCTGAAACAGATAAGACAGTGCCAGGGCTTTCATTATTAATGGTATATACATTTAGCTCTGCATGCAGAGGGCAATGGATGCACTGAAAGGGCAACAAAATAATCTCCCCCACTTTGGTAACTGGTACGAGAAGCTGGCTTGTCAAAACCATTATTTACCCTTTCAGAATACTTTACATGCAATAATTTATGCAAATGTAAATATTTTAGCTGATTGCTATTTCTGCAGATGTTTTTCCCCTGAGAACATTACTACTGGAATTCTGACGTCCCTCAGCATGATTTCTCTTGCAAAATCTGTGAATTAGAAAAAAGTGTTTGGTGCACCAACATTTTAGTATTGTCCAGGTGTTCTATGACATCAGAAAACTGTTCCTGCACTGCTTGCAAGATCTTATCCGTAAGAACAGCATGGGAAATTTCTACTCAGTGGATTTTACATAGTGCTATTAAAAACGTTAAAAACTATAATTGATACAGTATGTGTGGAATTGCATCATTTTTCCATATGCTGTACAGTCTCAATCTGAATAGTTGTTTTTCTGGCTGAATTGCAAAAATAGAATCTGTGCAGTACAACAGTCTCATTTAGTCCATGTGTTTTGTTAATGTGCCTCTGCATTTTGAACTTGGTGACATTGTCTGCCACTGATAGAAGTATCGGTAACTGATACAATTCTAAAGGGTGTTTCTCTAGATACTGTAGCAAAGTAAATGTCTCATTAAAAAAAATAAATCTCACCTTCGGAAGCAGGTAGTCTGTATCTAGAAATGTCTTGATCTGAGAGCAAAAAATCCACAGACAAAATCTGGATTCTTTACAAAGCCAGTAAGTCACTTTGTCATGCAGTGTTCAACACCTGATGCATTTTGCATTCAACTCTGTTGAACAGAGAGCAAATCTGTTGGTGCGCTGCTTTCCTTATCGTGGGGGGGAAGACTTGTAGTTCAAGTAAGTCACTTTGTCATGCAGTGTTCAACACCTGATGCATTTTGCATTCAACTCTGTTGAACAGAGAGCTTGTTGGTGCGCTGCTTTCCTTGTCGTGAGGGGGAAGACTCTGTAGTTCAACTGAAACTTTTCACTACTTGGTTTTACAAAAAAAGTGGGGTTTACTGTCTGTTCCCAACTGTAGTACCACTCTTGCACAGATGGCATGCCAGAGTGAAACAAGGAATAATCATCAACAGTTCATTCTGACAATGTTTATAAGATAAAGCTTTAGAAAAGACTGTTCAAATGTTTTATTTTCTGTGTGCATTCTTTGATGCATGAGAGTTAAACCAAAGGCCATGTTCAATGAAAGTGTTTGTATTCCAGACTATTAGTATGTGCCAAATGGATTTTGAGAAGGGAGAACTTTGAATAGTGAACATTCTTTAATATCCTTCTTTACTACTTTCTTCTCAATGTGTCTGTGTATACACACTAACGTTGAAATTATATTTCCATGTTGTATTCCTGTCTATTAAATAGAAAACTCCAGTTACGCTTTAACTGTTGAACAAGCTATCCTATTTTTCTGTTGTTTTTTTAAAGTAACACTGTAGCATTTATTCAGGAGGGAGGGGGTGAAGACGTGAGTCAAGTATAAAAGTATCCTGGGTATGCTTTTGTGAAGAGCCGCATCTCAGCAAACCTAACCCAGCCCTGACAATCTCTCTGACTTGGGGGCAGACAGAGTTTTCTTTACATTTTCCCTCGTTCCTGCATTTCACCTTACGTTGTTAAGTAATCTTCCTTTGTCGCTAACCCTTGGGCTCAGCCAGGAAATGTTGTTGTGCCATGCTTGTTTTCCACACCTCTCTCCACTTCTTCTTTGCTAGCCTTCTCCAGTCAGTAACTGTGGCTAACCTCCTTCTGCTTCACCTCCTGGTGCCACTCATGGCTTAGAAGCCTCTTGCCTTCCGCCAGTGGTGTTTGAGGGAAATATTGGCATCGCTTTGACATAAGCCTTCTCCCACGAGTGATTTCCTCCCTTTCCTTTGTCAACAGAAGAATGGTTTATTATTGCCAGTTTTGGCCTCCTCAGTGCCCTTACACTCTGCTACATGATCATCAAAGCCACAGCTAGCTTGAATGCTAATGAGTAAGTAAATGTTCAGATGTTTCTATATATTTCTGGTGGGTGGATGACATTGGGAACAAATACCAAGAGAATAGGGAAGGGGAGGAAGTGCAGTTTTCAGTCAAATGTCTTTTCTGCTTTTCTTGAATGTAAATGTTTTTATTAACAGTAGGTTCCAGGGTAAGATCTAAAGTCCCTCTCAGTTTATATTAGCTGGATTGTCTGAGGAGGTGTCCTTCCTAGAGGTGTCCTTCCTAAGTGGAGACATGGAACAGGGAAAGGGGAGAATATATTCCAGTTTTGATCAGTGGTCTACGTAAACATTAGATTTCTGCCATAAAATCCCCATTTTCAAAATTCAGCTCGCGGAGCCAGGTTGATCAGTTGGTCACCTTTGACAGTTTTCACCTCAGTTTCATAGTCATGTCATATTTTAAAAAAATAAAAATCTTTATTTCTAATTGGCATACTTTCAGCTGAAAAAAAGCATTTAAAAAGAAAGCTACCTTTTTGCTCTTAGGGAGAGATGAAGGCAATGAATATACTACTGCTTCTTCTCTCTTAAATGAAGAGAGCAGACCAGTCTTCTGACCTCTTATTTTAGTGTGCTTAAAAATAGCAGTCAAAGGAGGCCTTACAGACATCCACGCTTTCTTAATTTTTATAGACACCTCCAGTGTCTCCCTTCAGACAGGCTGGACAAGAAATGGCACTAGCATGTGACTTTCAGTCTCTTTTTATAGTTCTGTGTGTGGGCAAGTACAAATCTATTTGGCAGGTATATTAACTAGGTACATCTAGCTCTTTTCATTTTGGTGTACAGAACAACTGGGCTCATGATATATATATTTTATCATTATTTATTTGAGGAGGGAGAGCATCAACGTCTTACTTTGTTCTTTGTCTCTGAACATTTTGATGCAGCTGAGTTTCCATTAATGTGCTGATCTTTTACCAAAAGTGGGGTGAAATTCAAAAGCAGTCTCCTGTGCAGCCTGGAATCATAGCTTTATAAATATAATTTCGCTTTTTCTTTTTTTTTTTTTGAGATAAAAGAAAGAAGTGGCCTTTTTTTTACTTTTACTGCTGTCTGGAAAGTGTAAAGCGTCCTTCTTAAGACGCAAACATGTCCAATAGTCTCCAGTGTAAAATTTTAGACAGTCTCAAGCTAATCTTCAGGAGGGGCCATAGTAAGTTCAGAGAGGTCTTGGTGATCAGAGACCTTTGATTACCACTAGTTTGTAAGTCTTCCTTTCCTCACCTTTTCAGATGCTAATCACAAAAGGTCTTAATGAAGAACAGTTTTAGAACTTAAAATAGCTCCATCAAGCCCCCTGATTTAATTTTTTTTTTGTCCCATTTGTCAAAATGTTGAAATTGCAGCTATCAGTCAGCAACCTGACAACACAGCTGTAGCTGTACCCAGCTAATCTGCCCTGAGAAATAGCTTGGGACAGCATGGACCAGGGATGAGTTGTGCAACGGGGATGTCTGCATTTCTGGCACTTCCACATCGTTAGGAAGAAGTCAGAGCCCCTGTAGTGTCATCCAGATGTGGGCACTGATAGCAGTTGCATTTCTGCCTTGCTTTGCAATTCTTTTTGTTTTCTTTTGCTCAGTGGTACCTGGGTCTGTTTTTGCTGAAAGGGTAAGCTGCTTCACACGGGTAGAGGTTTAGGGCTTTCTGTCCTCCCATGAAATGTTTTCACCGGGACGTTCCCTTCATACAAAGGGCTGCTGGAGCGGGGGTTCCTTTCTCCAGTGGTAGGGGTGAAAAGGCGAACGTCTACAAGCATACTCTTTGGGACAGACTTGAGAAAACTAGCAAGTGCAGAGAACAGAGCTATCAAAAATCACTTATTTAGGTAACTGAGGTACCTGGCTGTAGCCTTTAGCCTCAGCAGCTTTTTGAGTGAATCCTTTGGGATCTAAGCAGCCTCCGTAAGTGCTGCTAGGTTCAGCTGCTCTATTTTAGACTGTTTAAAATGTGTAGGTACGACACTAACGCTTAGGTTTCTTGCATTGACACTTTATGTTCCCCAGCGCCAAAGCATTTCCTTTGCTGACTATCATGCCAAAAACGTGGCAGCACCCTCTTACCATTCAATGTCACCTGCTTCTTATGCTCTTCTCCATATAAAAAGCATTGCTGACATACCCTACGTTTGTTCTAGTAGTGTTTCAAGAGGGAGCTGAGGGGTTTTTTTCTTATCAGAAAACAACAGTAGCAAGAATGAGGCCGTGTAGTGTACTGATGCAAGTAAAAGGTGCCAAATATTCAGCATTAAAATTCACCTAAAAACATGTCCTGATGCATTTTTTTTTCCTACGTCCTTTCCACAGCTTAAATGTATTTAGAGCAATAGTTCTGGAGTTGTGTGAATATAGATACCTAACCATGTGTGTGTGAATATATGTATTTGTGTGTTATGTGTATACAGACACACATATGCATTTGTAAATGGTTCCTCATAAAAATCAAAGTTGTCTTAGTGATAAGAAAGTAAGGGAACAGCTGCTTTCTCTTGGTCTCATAATATCCAAGCGCTATTAATATTAAACTATTTAGGATTTAAAGGAACAGATGAAGCACATTTTGCTTTGCTTCTTATGGAATGGTTCGAAGTTGCTGTGTAACTGTATGGAAGTCCAAAAAGCCCAGATGCTGGATAGCACCACTTAGAGAAAGTTTTCTCAGAAATTTAGCAGTGCTCAAAGCTGTGACTGTCCTGTCTTCTTCACTGGTTCTGTAAGAATAACTTAAGGAGTGCAGAACTCTTTTAATGCTCTGGCCTTGTACAATTAGTCATTTCTCACTAACTGACTTTTACAGGATTATGTATATTTTTTATTTTTTTTTAGCGTTGACAGTATTAACTTTAATATAAATATTTTGTTCCTTTCGTGTGTTTTTTTCTGTCCCACAGAGCAGAATGGTATTGAAGAAACGCTTTCCGGCCGATTGCCTTGGAGAGAGACACCTATTTTTATGCATCATTTATCGATCATGCAGCACAAGCAATTATTTAGTACATTCTATTTTTTCATAAAATTTGCTGATGCCAAAGCTTTGTATTAAGGAAAATGTGAGGAAATAAAAAAACAACAACTTTAATTATGAAATCTTACTCTGTGAGCGTTTTATTTTCCTTGGACTTTCTGTGTTAGTACTTAAAATTTACAAAAGGCTGTCAGACTTGTAAGGTGCTTTATTTCCTTTGAGTGATTTCATCTTTGCAGATGTGTATTCTTCTCCTTTCATTTTGGGACACGCAAGCTAACAAGTGGAAATCCCACATGGTGCCCTTCTTATTGTGCCACCCAGCACCACAACAGCCGACACGAGTATTGTTAACAATCACTCTGTACAAACTTGCTGAGAAAAAAAAGCTGACCCAAGCATTCTAGTATATAACGGTCCTGCCCTGACTCCAGCTGGGAATTAATCTGAAATAATAACGTTTTCTTCATTTCTCCTCCTGTAACACTCCTGCATGGCACTGGGACAATTGCAGTGTGATTTTTGTCTTCAGATCAGGCATCGCTGAAGGTTTGCAGCACTGTGTTCTCAAATCATAAACCTTTTCTGTCTTTTGCTTTCATCCCACCCTTCTTCCTGATGAAAATGAGGCTACTCTAAACAGCTTCTTCCTCCCTAATACTGAGTGAAAAGGTAGCGCTTTCCCCCACTGTCACCTGCGAAGGCTCCCCTCGTATTAGTGACGGATTCGTTTTTGTTCAAGTGATAGTCTGTAATAGAGAAACTCTGCACAAACCTGTCCCTTCTTGCTGTGGCTTTATGACTGGGGTGGAGGCAGAAGGAAAACATCTCTCATCTCTGTCCTCGCTCAGGCTGTTTCACACAAGTTTACTTATGCAAGCAGCAAATGAGTAGTTTCGCAACAGTCGGTTAAAACATGCGGATCTGATTTGCAGCCAAGTGCTAATGCTTGAGTTAATGAGATGGGTGGATGAAGGTAACAAATCGGTAAGCAAAATCTAATTGATAGAGCTTAAAACTTATTCTGCGTTTGGTTGGTTTTGTTGTTTTCCTATCAAGATGTAGACATTTGAAACTTAATGCTTTCTAATTTAATTAAATGAATAGAGAGAGCCAATTTTACTGCAAGATTTAATTTTTTTATGTACTGGGAAACAGAAGATTTAATTCAATTTTATTTTTATGTATAGGCAGTTTTAGAATTTAGGAACACAGCCAGAATCTACATTAAAATAGTTCCTTAATTCTTATCTGTCCAGCAGGCTTTAGCTGAGAAGGCAGCTTTTATAATAAGAATTGAAGTATATGATAGCTTCAGTACATTTACTAGAATGATTTTTCAGTGTGTGTCCTTGTGAAATTTTGAAAGAAATGTGAAAACAATCAATAGAGCAGTTTTGAAGGACTGGAAAACCCCATTGGGCTTACTCATGAAGAGGACCAAAAAAAAAAAAAAACCTCAAAAAAATACCGTCTCCGGGGCCTGTCTCCCTTTAAAATACAGCATGTGTCAACTGAATGTCGTTGCCAAAACTGGGATGTGGTCAGAGCATGATTTAAGGGCACAGACTGAAAAGGATGGCGTGTTTTTTTCACCTGTTTCTCAGCAGCAATAGCAACATTGATAAATTTGCTCTGGCCTCCTGAAACAAAAACCCTGAGTGCTTCTTAACGCTGTCAGGGGTGCCCAGGGACAGCCCCAGCAGCGCGATGACCCAGATGCAAAAGGCACCAGAAACGGTTCCAGTTCGTGTTTCTTCTACAGAAGAGCAGCACAAGTTGGGTGATACTGGGAACAAAATGTTTGACAGGACTTCTGGTGCGTTAGAGGACTTAAAAGAATATGGTCCTGGTTATTTAATCTTTCTTTTGAGCCTCTGACAAGTTTTTTTTCAACAAAGCGTTGCTAAAAATACAGAGAGTAGCTGCTAGGTTAATTACATGTCGGGCTTGCAATGTAAATTTATCCTGTTAATGCGATAAATACAATGGAATGAACACATTCAAAGAGGAACTCTGCAGCATTGCAGAAACTCAATTTTTTGACTCGACTTTAACATAAAAAGGAAATTCCCCCAAGTTTTTGTTGCCTTTCATGTTTTTAGATACTCACACGTGAAAAATGAGGAATGTTACTCTTATATGTGTAAAGTTAATAGTGGGAGGAAAGGAGAAGAGCTGCTTCCTCTTTCCACGTGTTGCAAAGCTGGGGTAATAGTTCACGAGGACGTGGCAGCGCTTGGCTGAGCAGCTGCTTTGAGGAAGGGATGCTTTATGAAATAATCCTGCTTTGTCGTTCCTTACCCGGGGGGATGTCTGAAGCAGATTGTCTGAGATAATGCTCTGATCGGATTTCCACACTAAGAAGTCACTGTGCCGGAGGAGCTGTGGAGGGACTGCAGCTCGTGGCACAAGATGGCCCTGGTTCATGACTTGGGGCATTAAAATACTTCTCAGAGAGAAGAGGGAGGCCAGGGGATGATTACTCCTCATGTACCTGCAATGCTACAGCAATGCCATATCTTGAATTTTTTGCCTTACTGTTGTGCCTACTTCTGTAGCATCCTGTGGTAGGTAGAAAGGTCAGTTCTAGCATGGTATGTTTATTTTCAGATTCAGTACAAGTTGACTGAGAAGTTCCTTGTAAGTGCGTAACGAATAATAGTGGCAGAGAGCACTGAAGGATTCATTTTCATGCATTAAAACTGAATGCAGACTTCCCATTTGTTTCCTATCCCTAAAGGATAAATCTTGACCGTTCTTGGTAAGTGTGAAATAGAAGGAACAGATTCATAAGCTGAACTCAGAACTGCAGATGTTCTACTTGTCCTTAAAATACATGTATTTAGTAAATTTATCAGCTGGACTGTTGCCACAGTTTTTAAACGAGCACTAGCAATTTTCTGCATTATGATGAGCATGTCGGGGTCACTGTGCCCTGCTGACTCAGTTTCTCGAGCCATAAGCTGTGGGCAGTGATACCGACCTGGTTGTTAGAGCACTTGAAGATGGCGTGTTGAGAAGCACTGAGCAGCAGCTGGATTTCCAGCACTGGGTGGGCTGTGCCGCGTGGTAGAGGAGAGACACATCCAGGAAAAGAGTGAGTGACGTGGCCCGAAAATGGCACGAAAGCCACGACATTTGTGTCTGTACAGAAACATGCAACCTCCCTGGCAGTGGGTGGCTTAAATTTCTTTTGCCAAGAGGCGAGAAAACATCACAGTAAAAATTCTAGAGGTGTTGGAAACACAATGCCTTTTTTCCAGATATTTGATGTCAGGTGACGGGTCGGCCTGTTGATTAAATCTCGCCCTTGAATCTGCTAGAGTGGAAATGTGGGCACACACAGAGGAAATGACAGCCTGGGCTGTCTGCTTCCTAATCCCTTGTTTGATTTTTGTGTGATAAAAACAAAAGCAATAGCGAGCTTTCAGAATCCCCTATTTCATTTCAGTGCTGGCTGTTCAGTGTGTAACGTTTCAGCCGCTGGAGGAAAGGGAGATGAGACATCCACTATCCACAGCTTATTTCACCTGCAAGCTGAGACTCTCTCCTCAGAAATTAAGTGATCCTGACCCTTAACATATTTCAAGAAGAATCTTGACATCATTTTTTCCTGGTGCAGTTTCGGAGTAGCTTCAGTTTTTTTGTTCAAGATAGACTATAATCAGCTGGAAATTATAGATCCAAGTTTATGTTCCCTCAGAAACTCAACTCTTTTTCTATTTATTTTAAGCATTGCCTGGTGTTAGAAACATGTAAATTTGGGAGAGGTTTCAGATACAGAAAGTGGGTGTTCATCATTCCCTACTTCCTGTTTCTGCAAAGTATATTTCAACACAATACACTTCTTCCAAAAACCTGGGTATGTGCTCCTGGCAGAACAAGCAGTTCACTCCTATGCAATGTATCTACTAATTGCACTCTTGTTTTGGTTAACTGCAAGTTTAAAAATAAATAAATGTGCTTATGAGAACTTCTCAGTGTAAATGGTGAAGTACTGGCTTTTGGTGATAAAAGAGAGGTTTGGAGAAGCTTTAGGAAACTAGAAGCAGCTTTGTTACTCTTTCAACTCTACATTTGCTTATAACCTTAGCTTTTTTCTTTTTAATCCTAGTAAGGACCTTTTTTTTTCTCTTTTCTGAGTCTCTGTCTTACGGGTGAGTGGAGAAGGAGAAAAGGTGTTTTGGACAGTAGCAGCTGAATTCTTCTTCCCTGGTATCTTTTGTAAGATCTTTATTTCAGAAAGGCATAGGCCGGACTCAAAATCTTGGCAAAGATTTAAGCACCTAAATTCCACCAGTGCTAAAACTGCAATCCCCTAAGTGTCTTGCTACACAAATGCTTGAAAATGGAGGCACCTTGGTTTGCTGAGTGCCTTCTTGATGAACTTGGAAGCTTTTCAGTTTCCTCCAGTTTGGCTCATGTGGCTGCCTGGCACAGTGTAATCCAAGCAGCCTTGCTCCCAACTAATCCCTCCTGGGATCGAGAAACCGAGTAATGAAACGTTTTGGCCAAGGGCCTAATCTGATAGATGCTTTCAGACAGAACCGTTTGTACAGCAGTGCTGCTCATTTTTGGTATCACCATGTGGTTTTTGGAGAAGAGAGTTGGGTCTCCTTTGGTTCTGTGTAAGGAAATACATAGGCGCCTGTTTCTAGGAGGTGACTCTGGGTGGGTGGAGGTTGGTGAGCTCTGGAGAAGGTCAGGCTCTTGGCAGCATCGGTTGGACGATCTGTGGTGACCTCCTCGCTCAGCCTGCTCGCTCCCTTCGGCCCCATGCCAGAGCGTTTTGTGCTGGTCCATGGCATAGGGACCTGGGCACCCACCAAACCTTCCTGGGTTTCTCGAGGAAGCACATGCTTGCTTTAACGAGGCTGTGAATCAACAGCAAGCACTGAATGTGAAACTCCAGCCTGCCCCAGCCTTGCTCAGACTTGACCCGTTTTATCTGAAAGAACTGTTTGAGGTGGGATGGTTCATGCACGTGGAAAGCAGTTGCTCTGAACTGGCAGGGGAGCACACGATGGGAGGTGAACTCTCGTCGGGCTGTTTCTGATTTATGTTAAAGGGTGGCTCTTTTTTCCCTGCGTACCATGTTTGCGGTCAGCACCCCTGTA